ATAAAACAATTAATATGAATGATGGAAATCTTTTTGCATTCTTAAAATCTGATTAAATTGAGGTTCAAATGTTGAAACGCTAATCACAAGTAGCGACTTTAAATGTTCATTGGATAAATTTGCCCTGTATTTCGGCTTGATGTACTTCATCTGGGAAAAAAGTTTGTTCCCACAGATACGTCATCCCAAAAATGGAGATAAATTTACAAGCAAATTTCTTTAAATTTCGAAATTGCTCAGAGTTCAGAAATTTATAAAATTTGATCAAATTTCCTTCCATGTATTTGTCTTTAATATGATAATTTTCCTGAAGTTCAATAATTTCCATTTGAATTTGACATCTGCAGCATCAGAATGAAATGGATTTTGAAACAATCTAATTTCTTGAGCACTGGAATCCAAATCAGCAAATCGCTTCGAAAATAGTTCTTTCAAATCTAAAATGACTAAATTTGCAAACGAGGAAGGAAATTCTGCTTCACCCTTTTTATGCAACTCTGCCGAGTATAGCATATGAACAAAGTTACAATTTTTCACTTGCCTTTCCAGAAGTATTAACTTTGCTCTGAATGCCTTGATAAGTGCAAATAAATCACAGATTAAGTTATTTTCACCCTGCAACTTTAAATTAAAATGGTTCATATGGTTCACCAGATCAGGAAAACTGCTAATTTCCAAAGCCACTTGGTATCTGATAAAAGTGGTTCGTGATGGTTTTCTTTGGTAAGAAATATATCATTTTCATTCCTGAGCTGAAAGAAGCGTGAAATAACCTTTCCACAGCTAAGCCATCGAACTGCAGTATAATATGTCAGGTCAATAAGCTCGGAATCACATCTACCAGTACTCACTGGAAAATTAGTTCAATTGGCGCACTTCTGCACAATTCTTTCGCAGGCCGGATAAAATCACATCGCGGGCCGCATGTGGCCCGTGGGCCGTAGTTTGGTGACCCTTGTTCTAAAGCAAAGTTGAAAAGGAGTAGCGATAAACCATCTCCTTGTTTTAGCTCATTCTGGACAGGGAAATTATCAGACAAATGTTTACCCATATGGACTTTACCATACGTTTCATTTAAGCACATTTTAATCAGCCTAACTAGTTTCGTGCGTACCCCAAACTCTATCAGAATATTGTTCAATACTTCCCTCCTAACTGAATCATGGGCTTTCTTGAAGTTTACAAATAGCTGATGTACTGTCTCGCTGTACTCCCATATTTTCTCCAGTATCTGATGAATGCAAAAGATCTGATCAGTTGTTAATCTGTTATGTTGAAACCCACACTGATAATCCCCAATAATTTCATCTATGTATGGACTTAGCCTTGAGAGAAGAATATTGGATAAAATTTTGCATGAAGTTGATAGTGGTGATATCCCCCTATAACTACTACATTCAGTTTTATAACCCTTCTTGTGACAATAATGGGCTCCTTCCACTGATCAGGCAATTTTTCCTCATTCCAAATAGAATTAATTAGCTTATGGATCTTAGAACGTAATATTTCATCTCTTTCTTGAATCAGTTCTGCTGGAATTTGATCATTACCTGGCAATTTATACGTTCTCAAATTTGCAATAGCAATTCAGCAAGTTGCATGAGGAAACCTGTTACAGAATCCAATTTTCACACACTTTTCACCATTTTCTAGCCTTTTAATATTTCCATTTTTCTTCTTTAAAGTCAAGTTTTCACTTTTATTCTTGCATGGGAGTGTTCTTAGAATAACAAACTGCATCAAAAGATTTCAGATGAAATGAAATGCAATCAGAATTTCAACTAACTTCTACTGTAAACAAGCATCACTATTATTACAATGCACCAATGTGATGATAATGGGCAGTGCTACCAGTGGCAGCTGGGGGAACTACTGTGTGTAAGGAAGGGGTAGACTGGTGAGGATGATATCATTAGGTGTGTTATATCATGCAGTTTTCAGTACACACAATGGCTTGGTCAGGAGAACATCATGCGTTCATGCTGGAAGAGTTTATTAAAAACGGCAGTTCTGTGATCAAAACCCAGCGAGCCTTTCACACTCAGTCGGTGTGATCCCATTCCCACTGGACCAACAATTAGAAATTGGGCATCAAATTTTAGAGCGACATCTTCTGCATTAGAAAGAAAATCATCAGGCTGATTGTGGTGTCTGGGGTCCCTACTTCTTCGAAGAAGATGGTGAAGTCATTACAGTGACTTCTGTTCGATATTGTTACATGCTTGAAAATTTTCTTCTGCCGAAATTGGATGAATTATTGCAAGATCATGACCTGGAAGATATCTGGTTCCAACAAGATGGTGCTATGGCCCACACCTCGCATCGTTCAATGGAGATTCTAAGACAAATGTTTTATGGTCATCTCTCTCTGTGGCCCCCCAGATCGCCCGATCTAACACCATGCCTCAAGGCAAAGGTGTACACACATCGTCCCCAAACTATCGATGAACTGAAGGCTGCCATCACTGAAGAAATCAACACTATTCCACGTAATATGACTTGTAGTCATGGAAAACTTCCAAAACAGGCTCCATCAGTGTATGGAAAACAGAGGTGGCCTTTTGGAAGATATTATTTTTAAAACCCATTAAAATAAAACTGCATTCTATGTCCTTTTAAATAATAAAATAATTTTGCCTGCATCTTTCCTTATTTCTATTCCACGCATTTTTGAATTCGGAAAGGTTTACATGCCCCACCCTGTATAAAATGCTATATTTTCTTTGATTGCATGAGAATTTTGGATGCGCAGATACTGGATAACCAGGAGTTTAATGTAGAAACGTGGAAAAATATAGATACATGGATGTAAGCAGGAGTGAAGGTAGGCAGGTAAATGCTCACACCCATGCTCATACTATAAACAGTATTCACTAACCTACATAACCATTTTCTCTCCTGAAAACTACCTTGGGGTGGGGGTACAAATATACAATGGGTACATAATATTTCCAGTAACTGAAGTCAAACGAAGCTTCTAAACACTATGGAAACAGAGCCACACAACTCAAAAATTGACTTACTTTAAATTTTGCAATTATCTGCACAATCAGGGGAATATATTCCTGAATGCTTCGAATGTCATTGCCCTTTAAAAGACCTTCCGATGCCTGTGGAATGTAAGGGAGAACTTCCTCCTCTAAGCATACTACCATCCTATGGAGGAACTGCCGCACTCCACTTTGCAGTATCCGTGACTGTGTTGGAATCTGAGAAGAAAACAAAATAACTTCAACCTTTCCAGTATGTATGGATAGATATATTTATAAATTCTATTTAAGACCCATTCCCTACTTTTAATCCAGCTCTCTTGCGTAACCAGTACATACTGCTTGTACATCCTTCGCACACACCTTGCGCTGCAGTCCACAACACTAAAGAGTGATCAGAAATACGGTAAACTTGGAAAGTTTAATGCATTTGCTGCTTGCGGTTGGTACAATTTAGTGCAAGACTATGAGCAGAGAGCACAAACTTGTAAATCTCCTGTTCAAATCTCATCTTCCCCTTAACATGGTACACCCCCTAAAGATGGTCTTGTATGACTGAAAATGTCAGGGTTTTAACATCATGTAATCAACACAAGAAAATAAATTAGATATACTTGGAACGTAATTTATATTCCATACTAACACTCTTGATGGCCGCGCCATAGCAAGTGTTTAGTTGCTTGCTTCCCACCGAGGTGGCCCGAGTTCGATCCCGGGTCTGGTCAAGTGGGATTTGTGGTGGACAAAGTTGTGTTGGGGCAGGTTTTCTCTGAGTACTTTGGTTTCTCCTGACAATCTTCATTCCATCAACTGCTCCACAATCACCCTCACCTATCATCTGGGGCTGGTACAATAGACCAGAAGTGGCTGCAGTACAAGGGACTTAGTCCCACCCCACTAGCAATAAAAAAAAAACACTCTTGATCCAATGTGAAAACCTGCAATCATACAAGTATACCATACTGGTGGCAAATGATTAAATCAGAGAGGTAAAAAGTACATAGTTTACAGCATACAGCCATTTAATAAAGAGTATTACCTGCAGGCATCCAAGGAAAACCTTCATGGCCTCAATAAATATAGGCACACAACAACAAGACTTCATCGTCTGATGGTTCGTGAATGCCTTGCTGGCACGGCTAGTAACAGCCATAGCATGGCAAAGAGACTGAGCCAATAGCTCTTGCTTCTGCTCATCCATCTCCACTAGCAATTGGGACACCAAAGTCTTAAATTTATCCATCACAGGAATGAGCATGTTTGACATTAGCATCCCTTTTTGCTGAAAACACAACATAATTTGTTTTACTTAAAAATTACATAAAATTATACATCAATAAGAAACACATTTTAGAATTAACCAATATCACTATTTACAAATCACAGCAGTATGTAATGAGGATTCACTAAATTAAACTTGCAGTTTGATGTAGTCATTTCAGTTTGTGCTGTTAAACTCCAGTGTTCAGCCACTGTAAAACTGCAATGATTTGTGAATAAAGATGTCAGTCGTTGCAGTCATAACCTGGATGCTAAATTATGCCATGATATTTTTACCTGTCATTGTGGGTAGTACATGATGAAGTGTATTGTCTCCAAAGAGACTTTTATGGTACACAGAAACAATTAAGGAGTTCATTACTACTTCAAAAATTGATGAACAGATGTTGATGAAACATTTTTATCCAGCTGTATTCAACAGAAATTGGAAAGAAAATAATAAAAGTCCTAGGATAGTAGCTGAAGTTAGTGATGAAGAGGAAGATGAAACAGTTATGAAGTTAAGAAATACAGAACTTCCAGGATATTCCATTATGAATGAAATACTAAAGTATGTTTTTGTATGGATGCCATTTTTACAACAACAAAGACTTAAGAGTATGGAACACACTCTCCAATGTAAACTGGAGGTACAAGGCAAAGTGACTGAACAACTAATGGCAAAACTTCAGCTGATCATAAGTGTTCTATACACAGCATGAGAGTGGTATGCTGTATGAGCAGTCTGTTATCATATAAAGTCCTACTGTAAAAACTGTGGCACAGGTTTCTCAAAAGTAGCAATGAGTCATGATCAGAAGAAGGCAGTCATATGACTGGACCCCCATGTCCAAAATGTGTCGGAACATGGCTACTTGATCAATTACGCACCTAGAGCAAAATGTGGTGATGATTGCCATCCTGCTAAAACAAATGTTCTCATGATCATGAAAGAGCACATTCTACAATAAAATGGGAAGTGTTCTTTCAAGGAAATCAATGTACTGGATTCCACCAAGAGTCTGCCAACACATGTGGTTTAGTTAGGGAAACATCTACAATTCTGGTCCAATGTTGATGCAAAATGTTTGTTGAAATTAAGGAGTATAAGAATTGTTCAATGCTCATTTATAGGTCATAGAGACTGTGTACTCCAATCCTCATGAATGTTACCACATACACTATACATACAAGGGGATATCTCCTTGAAACAATTCAGAGTTAAAGATCTAAAAGAGAAGTATGAAGTACCTGAGCACCAAAGGCCCCTGACACAATCATCACTGCTGCAGCTTCATACAAATACAATTGGTCATCTTCACTAATGAGGCTTGATCCATTTTCTGGGGGAACCAGAACCAGCAGGTACTGCAGGGGTCCCAGAATTTCCTTTATATATGGCTGTATCAATGTCCTGGAAACAATTTTATACAATGAGTACACCATATAAGGAAAAAAACATGTACAGTGGCCATCTGTATTCATGTTTCAAGTCTGATATACCTTAGGCTGGGGTCATGTTCACTGCCCTGAACAAATCCATAAACATTAACAACAATGTCTGTTCACAACACAGTCCTATGTCAATAATCTCCTTCCTGAAAGGTTGCTGTAATGACAAACCAAACAAATACAGCAGCACCATCCATATCTCAATGTGTAGGCTATGCATATTACATTTGGCTTCATTGAGGATTGGAACAAAAACAAATCCACCAACAATAATTTTTTTCAACAACAGCCCCTTGAATCACTTTGTGCATTTCCAAGGGGTTCACAAAGCACATTTTTGGAACAGTTACTTTATTCCTTGTTATAATCACTTATATTGTTACTAACAGTTTATCTAAACAGAAAACAATTCTTTTTGTTGTATTTAATAAACAAACATAAAACATAAAATAGCAACAAACTGAAGTCTTAATTTCCAAATACTTGCCTCAGGCACTTGACAAAACGTGAAAATAAATAAGCGCAGCGACTGCGAACAAGTGGACTACTGTTCCTCACACCACGTTGGTCAAGGAAGGCTGTTAACACATACGGAATGTGTTCTGGTTCTGTGTTAAAGAACTTCTCATAACGCACGACAGTCTCAACATACTGCAATGTGACTGCTGGATGTGGGTAGTGGCTCACGTCACAAGTAACCAACACATGCATCATTGTCTGCATGGCTGACACTTTGGTCTGAAACATTACAGTTCTAATTTAAATGAAAATCCAATCACAGATATTTGCTTAAAATTAGAACGAAGTACTCATTTTGCAGAACTCTCTTCCCTATGAATGAGATTCTTCCAAATACACTACAATTATGTAATTACAAGCTTCACAATTTCTGCTCTTCATCTATATTGTTTGGGTGATTAAAGTATGAAAGATAAGGTGAGTCTGAAATGCAGTAAACACAGAGGGAAACAAGTATGGCACGTAAGATTAGCTGAAAAAGTTAAAGAAACGAAAATAATCTGAATAACTAGGAATAGATGGGAGGCTAACTCATGGTACAGGATATTACTTGTATGGCTGATTACTCTGCCAGTCAAGATATTCCTTACTTCCATCATATGCAAAGGTTCATCAACTAGTTAATAAAAGTCCTACACTAGACCTCATCCTGAGCCAGTTAAATCCAATCCACATCCTCTCACCCTATTCATTTATGACCTACTTTAATATTATTCTCCCATTTATATCTAGATATCAAAAGTGACCTTTTCTCTCAAGATTTTATTACCAACCATTTGCATGCATTTCTCACTGACTGCATGCAAGCAACATGTCCCTATAACCTCACCCCTTTTCACTTCATCACCTTAGCAATATGAAACATATGGATAGAAAGAATTTTAACAGTCTTCAACAAAAAAGTTGTCAGGATGTGAACTGAACTAGCTCAGAGTACTATTCTTTGATGTGTTTTGAGGATGGTGATGTCTCCTCAGATTCTGTGGGAGACACAATTAATGTCAACCTTGATGCATCATTCAATAACATTTATGACGACAAAGAAATGTGGGAAAAGGAAAGGGAAATTAACAGTATAAAAGCTTATATAACAAATAATCACGTGTCCATTGAATTATTCTAAAACTATTAAAATAAGACAAATATTTACTTATTCTATCTTTAAATTAACATACTCTCATATGACATACATGATCACCACTGAAATGGTTTCCACCAGATGCTGGAATAGCTTCACCCATCAGGTACAACAAATAAATGGCAATCTCCACATTCTGGAATGATGCAGTTCTCCATTCACTCAGCGTATTCGTGGTGAATTCACTTACATATTCAATAACCAACTCTTTATTCACACCTGCCAAGTTGTCAAACAATACTTTCAACTGCTTTCTAAAAGAAAAAAAAACATAGCAGCAAGATTCAGTAAGGATTTACAGTTTTCCACCATCATCACTCATATCACTGATCACACAAAAACCGCGGACGACTCAAGCATAAATTGAAAGCAATCCCAACAAAATTCTGACAGCATATACAGACATGAATGGATTATATCCAGATTTTGCCATAAACTTCAGCACATAACACCACAGCTTGCTGCATTAACTATTATTTAATTTTTGCATTAAACTTCATCATATCAGTAAAAATTATATAGCAAAAGAGAATTAACAGTTCTGCAAGAGAGAAAGGGGAAGATGGATATATGCATTTGTACTGTCTATTTGGAGAGACAAAGAATCCAATTCCTGTTAACGGTAAAAATTAATCATGATTAATAATTTACATTTGTTATTAACGACAGGTTGATTCATGAATATGGAGAAGTTGGGGCAAAGAGAACTGGCAAGGGAAACTGAAGTACTTGGAGAAACCTATCCCAGTGCTACTTCATCCACCCAAATCCCACGGGACCTGACCTCCAATCAAACCCACTTCCCCATTGAAGGAAGTCACTGACTGACTGACTGAGCTATGGCACAGTCCCTTGATTTATAGCCTCTGAAAGTGTTTGTATAGAACTCAAGCCATGTAAAGTAGCCTCAATCTGAGTGGTGCTACAGCGAGCAGAAACTCACTGCAAAGCAATCCACACAGGAGAAGCTACTGAGACTATGAAATGCTCATGTGAGTCATCACCACCTACAGTGAGAGCTCTACGCTGCATACACACAAGTGGCAGTGATCATGTCATTAATAATTCTGTGAACAAACGAATTATCTTAAAATTTTCTAAAGAAACATGGGATATGCTGCAGACTTATTATTATTATTATTATTTGGAGGGGGTCGGTTACCCCATGCACTGTGATCATTTATTGATCTATTGTATGTCCCCCTTTTTAAGTATTCTAACTAGTCGCCCTGCCCTTTCAGTATTGATGCTTGGTATCAGCCCCTTTCTGCCAGCAAGGTCAGCCCTCTCTGGTAGTGGTCCCTGATACTTACCCATCTACTGGAGGGATTGGAAACTACTTGGGCAGGAAACTGCCTAATTTTGCTGAGAGGTCTCCTAGAGACATGAAGATGTTTTACATGCCATAAATCTATGACACGGGACAGACGGCTTAAAGTCCCTCCTGAAAGACTTGTTCCCAAATTTTTCTGCCCTTAAAAACTCCATGACCTCTGTCGGGTTTGAACCCGCATACCTTGAGTCATGAGGTTGGAATGTTACCCCTAGACTACGGAGGCCGCTTATGCTGCAGACTTACTCAGCAGCCTAAGGGTAATTATCTAATTTTGTCTGTCAAATATCTTAATTTTGTCACCATAAAATATCACTTTTGATGGGAACCTTGAATGCCAAACCAACATGTCTAATGGTGTTTCCACTTAACAAAACTTTCACAGCAAAAAAAAAAAAAAATTCTCTGCAACATATTATGATTTATCTATAGCGCTCTAACAGTGAAATCATACAAACCTCATATCTGGAAACTGATTTACAGCTAAGCTACTACAGAGCATAAGAAGGGATCTGAGTGACCACTTGGCTAGTATCTATGACTGCTCACACAGTGTTACCAGTGTCAGAACTAGTCATAAATGGGAATAAATTATAAGGAATTAGCATTTTAATGTGAACCAAATTAACTAATATTCAATGAAACATGTACTTCAGTATTACAAATGTGACAGCATTAATAGTCCACACACATATTCATTAAGACCCTGTCATGTGAACTCATACCTTATGTGCATATAACTTGCAAACATTTATGATGTCTAAATCAGGCATGTCCAACTTCAAACAGGCTGTGATCGACTTTTTAGTGTCAAAACTGCCAGTGATCTACCACCCCCTCCTATCGTCGTACCTCACTTTAAGCAAAAATATTGGTAAAAATAACAAGACACATGGCTTGTTGTAAAAGCAACATACATTGAAAGTACAGACTACTTTAACACGTATTTTCCCTGCAAAATCTGAATATAATCATATTATATTACAAGTGAATTTACATGCTTTTCACGCATAATTTCCTTATAGGCCTAAGAGATTGACAAAAATCGTTCCGCGATCGACACATTGGACATGCCTGGGCTAAATTATTGCTGTCTTATAGGCAACACATCAGTGACAGTTCAGTTGGAAACATGGGATAAAATAATGGTTTATTTACTCAGAAGGAAACCCAGTTTCCTTTCTAACAGCATGTAGAAATCACTGTGCTAATAAGAGAAACAATAGGATGATAGAAGGTGCATTACAGGAAACAGATAAAAGACAGTTTTATCATAAAGAAAACAAACTTTTTATGCACAATATGATAAAATTAACTTTTCTCTGGCAAAACATACTTTCCAACTACTGATCATCACCATTTTACTCGATCCATCCCAACTACAAGACAAAATGGGTTTCAGAATTATAAAAGTGACATGTTCACCTGAATTCCTGGAATGTAGCCTCATCTTCACCTTCTTGCTCAAAGCGATATGATTCATCATACTTCATTTTGTGCACAACTGTAAGCAGGAGCGAGCGTGCATACCCAAGCTGCTCCTCTGTCAGCATCACTTTCCCCTTCAACATCTGTTCACAGATATTCTAACTTATTCCACTGGCAATGATTCAGTGCAGTAGACAAAATATAATGAAGTAGATGGAAGAAGTCATGATACTTTAAACCAGATTACAGTAACAATTATTAAGAAATGGTAGTAAGAAGGCCATGAAAATGACAGCAATGAATCTGGTGGACTGATACATATTTACACAGAGTGCATTCCTATAGAATAAGCTGTACAAAAGAAAAACGAAAAGGCTACGGGATACGAGGCTAAGCTCAAGACCTACAGTATGTGCATTATGTCCAAGATAATATACTCTTTACATATTATCATACAAGAATACTGACACAATTTTAAGAAGAAAATTTATAACAAGTTTTAAAGGAAATGATTTTATTTTTTAATGAGCACGCTTAAACAATTAAATTTTAAGTATTATATTATTGTTATAAATTCAGAATTCATAGAAGGGTAAGTGATGGATTGTGATGGGGTAAGAACAGAGCCCTCTGACAGCACTGCACCATGTTAAAGTACACCCACATCACAAATATAAAAACCAGGCCATAGTTAAACTGTATAAAGTAATGTATGGTTGTTATATCCATGATCACAAATGACTGCCACAAAATTAATTTAGCACAGGAGGTTACACTAGAGTTAATTCACTCAGGTTTCCCGCAGGAACACCAATTTAAAAAATAAGGACAGCAAAGTTGCCACACACAGAAAAAAATGAATATTTTCAATTAATACTCACGTGGATATATTCCTTGGCAAACTCCAAAACTGCTGCAGATACATCATCATAATCATTACTGAGAAACTCGATCATAATTGGAACTTTTCGTTCAACTGCATTCTGCAGTAATGCTACCTGCTCTGCAGATCCTGATTTTGACAGTCTGAAATAGCAACAAGTATCTTGTTTTCTAAAGGACACCTCAGATCACAGTCTACACAGGTACATCAGTCACTGATAGTTCTGTATTTCAGAATAATTTAATGTGGGTGTAGCTTCCGGCTCTTTAAGAATAATCCCTGGCATCTGCTTCGTTAAAATGTCTTCCAATATAAGTTCTAAGTTTGAAAAGAACGTGTTCTAGTATTTTATCATGCATACAGACTAATACACGTAGGTCGTGCCGAAAGTCATGAGCAACTTCTTTTTGCATGCAACCTGGGAACAGCAGACGAAAGAGAGTATGGTGGTAGGTGGAACCAGCTATTGTGTTAACCCTGAGTGTCTTGTGACATCAATAGCTTGCATCCTGTGACCAGTATCACTCCTAACAAAATGGCCGACAACGATATGTCGTTTCACCAGCGTGTTGTCATCGAATTGCTTGTGAAAGAGGAAATCCCTGCTGCAGAAATTCAATAGAGACTTCAGCGTGCTTATGGAAGTGTGTGTATAGGTGCGAGCAGTGTTCCAAGATGGGGGAAACATTTTAAAGACGGTAACACGAGCACTGAAGATGAACCTTGGAGCGGTCGTCCTCAAACAGCCTCTACTGAACGCAACAAGGTAAGAGTGGATGAAATCATTCAAGATGACAGGTGTGTGACTGTGGACACAATAGCCCGAAAACTTGGAATAGTGCACAGTCCAGTACAGGAGATGATTGAAAGCTTGGGCTATAGGAAAGTTTGTGCTCGTTGTGTCCCGCGGTTACTGACTGAAGACCACAAAGGTCAGCGAAAAGCCATCACCTCAGAACTGCTGCAGAGATATCGACATGAAGGCAATGATTTTTTGCTCTGTATTGTGACAGGTGACGAAAGTTGGTTTCACTATTTCAAGCCTGAAATGAAACGGCAGAGTATGGAATGGCACCATTTGCACTCTCCATCAAAAAAGAAAGCAAAGACAGTGCCATCAGATGCGAAGGTGATGGGCACAGTCTTCTGGGATGCAGAGGGGTTTATTCTGGCCAAATTCTTGGAACCTGGGCAAACCATCAATGCTGCTCGTTATGTCCAGACGCTGCACAAGCTCCGTTGTGCATTGCACGATAAACGTCCGGGACGAAACATCATCATCCTGCATGACAACACTCGCCCCCACACTGCTCACCTCACATTGGAAGCAATTGCAAAGATGGGGTGGGAAGTTCTTCCACATCCCTCCTACAGCCCTGATCTGGCACCCTCTGACTACCATCTTTTCGGATTTGTGAAGGATCAGCTGTGTGGACGTTTTGAGACAAGGGAGGCAATTCAGAAAGCAGTGCGTCAGTGTCTTCGGATAGCTGGAACGGAACTTTACAGAAGGGGAATTTTCAAACTCCCAGAATGCTGGGAGATATGTGTACAAAGAAGCGGCGATTATGTGGAAAAATAAAGAAAGGTCTGTAGACTGAGGTGATGTATTTGGTTTCAATAATAAAGCATGTTACTTTACAAAAAATTGTTGCTCATGACTTTCAGTACGACCCTCATACTATTATCGCCATGCAAATAAGAATGGGTATTCTTCCTTCACAATAGGCCTGAAAATTGCTCTTGCACCATAATCTGCCGTACTCTGGGTTACTTCTTTGTATGGTATGAAATCATTCAGTCCCTTTCAAAAATTCTTGTATTTTCTGTATTTTGTATTTATTCTTGTGGTTTAAGGAACATAATCAATGATAAGTATTTACGGCAAAGAATTTCTGGACATCAATTCAGGGACACTGTCAACCTGGATTTTACATGTAATGTTGTTCTTTTCTGTACAAACTCTCCAAAGTGGCATGAGTATTTGTTCAATATAACTTATAAACTCACATTTTTATGATCAGAATAGCATGATTTATGATATGTACAAGGGTTGGAACTTTAATAGTGGTAACACTGCTGTAGAGACGCCATGCAATGGAACCAAATAATGTCGCTTATACCACAGGTTGGTTACATACCTATATACCTACCTTACCTCGGAGCAAATGGACTCTCCCTTCCAACATCACACGCATGTGCAGTGACGAGAAGAACAGAGCCTTGTGTTAGCTGGCAGTCTAATGTAGTGCTGTCACGATGTTTTCGAAACAGGAACAACGGAGTTGGATAAAGATTGAATGTGCCAGAGGCCATACAGTGTCATCAAGGTCTTCAAGAGGCTTGCTGGGAATCTGCATTGCCTTACAGAACAGTGGCAAGGTGGGTAAAAGCCTTCAACGAGGGATGCCAAAATGTGGCAGACATGCGTCGGCCAGGTCCTCCTAGTGTCAGTGAAGAAGTGTATGCTCTCTCCGCGTTACTGGAGAGTGAACGACACCAAACGATTCGTGAGCTGGCCCGAGAGACAGGATTAGCACATATGACTGTGCTTCACATTCTGAAGGAATGCCTGGGCATGAGAAAAATTGCATCATGATGGGTTCCACATGATTTGACGGAAATGGAGAAATGGCTACAATACAACGCTGCTTGTAACCACTTGGAGTGCTATGAGAGGCTTTCTTACGCCATATCATTACACTGGATGAGACATGGGCCAAATCGAACGAGCCGCAACTGAAATGCCAATTGAATGAATGGCATCATTACGGGTCACCACGAAAATCAAAAGTTCATCAGAACCCCAGCAATGTGAAAGTTACAGTGATTCTCGTGTACGACTGTGATGGTGTTATCATAATGCATACTGTTCCCTGACAGAAGACTGTCAATGCGCAGTACTACTGTTCATTTTTGGAACACAACCTGCGACCAGCTTTGAGAAAGAAGCGGCGATACTTTCTGTAGAACCCACCCACCATCTTGCATGACAATGCTCGGCTGCATGCAGCGCAAGCTGTGCCTGATTTATTTGATTGATGGGGCTGGGAAGTGCTGTACCATCCACCATACTCCCTGGACTTAAGCCCCTGTGACTTTGACTTGATTCCTAAGATGAAGGAACCACTTCGTGGCATTCGCTTCAGAACTGTTCCAGAGATTCTTCAGCCAGTAAACCGCTCCATTCGAACTATCAACACAACAGGTGCTGCTAAAGGTATCCTACGACTTCCACATCGCTGGTAACGGGTTGTACACAATGCTGGTGACTACACTGAAGGACAGTAAAATTTCAAAACATGCATCTATTTTGTATCAGTTGTAAATAAGTAGTTGCCACTATTAAAGTTCCAACCCTCATAGTTAAAACCACTCTACAAGAATGTGACATGATTTACAATTACAAGTGTGGTCTAGTTACTGCTTATACTTTTATACCACATATAATGGATTAGCATCCATTTGCAACAGGATGCTGAAATACAGAATCATATAATGGATTTAAAATATTCAGCAATTGAAAACTCAGAAGAGATTAGGATCCGCAGGAATTTAACCTTTATCCTATGGGCATTTAAATTCCGATAAAGGCAGCCGTACGGAATATATTTAAATACCCGCGATTAGAAATCCGTAAAAACTGTAGTGACTTACTTAATTTGCTCCTATTTCTGCAATTTCTGTGATAAACGAACGAAATAAACGCTGTTTTTTTCTCGAAAGAATATAGAATCAGGTATTGTAATTTACAGATTGTATAAAACATGTTAAAATTTTTGCACTGACTCCAAAGAAAAAATTTCCCAGTTTCTTGTTTTTCTGCAAGAATTCATACGTTCTGTATACCCCTGAATGCAAGCTGCTTGATGACGACACTTGTGCAA